GCTCCTACAGCAGGTTCTTGGTCTTTCTCCTTTGGTAGAGTGTCCACAGCCTGTCCAGTCGCAGTCACTGTTGGAGCCTTCCTCTCCTCTGCCTGCTCCCTCCCCTTACACTGGTCCTACTGGAGGTCTTGCTGAGCGTCGTGAGCCTGCGTCTCGTCCCACGTCGCCGGTTCGTGCTGCTCGCACTAGTGGTCGCGGTTCGCGTCAGCGTCCTCCTCCTGTCCCTGGCACGCACCGGATGTCTCTGCGTCCGTCCATTGCTCCTCTGCGTGCCCCTTTGCCTTCTCCTCCTGAGTCCTCTCTTCCTGTGCTTGCCGACCCTGAGTCGGACTCTCTTCGTGCTGCCAGTCCTACTGTCACGCGTCTGCTTGCTACTGTCGTCACTGACCCCTCTTTTGAGTCCACTGCTGCGTCTGCTCTTGTCGCTGAGCTCGTCGACTTTGCTGCTCGCTGCCGTCTAGACTACGCTGCTAGTCTTGTTGCTGAGTCTGCGTCTGTCTGTCCTCCGTCCGTCGGGGGTGAGTGTGCTCTTGGCACGGACGTCCTAGAGGACAGGCAGGACGAGTTACAGTGTCTGGCTGCTGCTTCACCTAATCTCGCGTCTGTACTGCTTGCTCCTGAGGGAGACCCGGATGCACTAGACATCCCGACTCCGCGCTCTTACGCGGAGGCCGTAGAGGGTCCCTACTCCTCTCAGTGGCATGCAGCTATGGATGCAGAGATGGCTTCCTGGAAGTCCACAGGCACCTACGTTGACGCAGTTCCCCCTCCTGGGGCGAACATCGTCAGTGGCATGTGGATCTTCAGGGTGAAGCGGCCGCCGGGCTCTCCACCTGTCTTCAAGGCGCGGTACGTTGCTCGTGGCTTCAGTCAGCGGCAGGGAGTTGACTACTTTCAGACCTTCTCTCCCACCCCGAAGATGACCACTCTTCGGGTGCTGCTGCACATAGCCGCTCAGCGCGACTACGAGCTTCACTCTCTCGACTTCAGCACTGCGTTCTTGCAGGGTAGCCTGCACGAGGAGATTTGGCTGCGCCGTCCGCCTGGCTTCACTGGGACTTTCCCTCCTGGCACCCAGTGGAGCCTCCGACGGCCAGTCTACGGTCTCCGCCAGGCACCGCGTGAGTGGCACGACACACTGAGGACTACGCTTGCGGCTCTTGGGTTTGCTCCCTCTACTGCTGACCCGTCGCTGTTTCTGCGCACCGACACTTCACTGCCGCCGTTCTACATCCTCGTGTACGTTGACGACTTGGTCTTTGCCACAGCGGACACTGCTGGACTCGCCTACGTGAAGTCCGAGCTGCTGAAGAGACACACGTGCACAGACCTGGGTGAACTGCGCAGCTACCTTGGCTTGCAGATCACTCGGGACAGAGCACGCCGCACCATTACCTTGACTCAGTCACACATGGTGCAGCAGGTCCTTCAGCGCTTCGGCTTCACGTACTCCTCGCCTCAGGCCACTCCTCTGCCTACTCGCCACTCACTCTCAGCTCTGCCTTCGGATGAGTCCGTAGAGTCGAGTGGTCCGTATGCAGAGCTTGTTGGCTGCCTCATGTACCTGATGACCTGCACACGACCTGACCTTGCATACCCTCTGAGCATTCTTGCACGCTATGTTGCTCTTGGGAGACACAAACCGGAGCACATGGCTGCAGCGAAGAGGGTGTTGCGCTACTTGTGCAGTACGTCGGGCATGGGGCTAGTGCTTGGAGGGCAGAGTCCGGTGGTCCTCACTAGGCACGCTGACCCTTCTTGGGCTGACGACCAGGCTACACAGCGGTCGTCACAGGGTTACACCTTCAGCCTTGGTTCCGGCTCTGTTTCGTGGAGGGCTACTCGCTCGTCTTCTGTTCTCGGCTCCAGTTGTGAGGCTGAGATCTACGCAGGAGCCATGGTTGCTCAGGAGCTTCGCTGGCTCACCTACCTGCTGATTGACCTTGGAGAGTCGCCTCGTTCTCCTCCAGTGCTGTACGTAGACAACAAGGCCATGCTGGCCTTGTGTCGAGAGCAGCGCTTGGAGCACAGAACGAAGCACATTGCTCTCCGCTACTTCCTTGCTCGTGAGCTGCAGCAGCGTGGTCAGTTGCGACTTGCGTACGTGGCCTCTGAGGCCAACACTGCTGATGTGTTCACCAAGGCACTCGCGCCTTGTGACCATCAGCGCTTTTGCACCCAGCTGGGTCTTGTGCCTGTCTTGCCTCACTTGCTCTCCTCTTGACTTCACTTGTACTGTGACATATATATATACCTGCTCTTGCTTGTCTAGTTTTATATATATGTCTGTACTCCTGCATGTGAACTGGCCTCTGGCCCTGCTCTTGTGCTCGGACTGTGTGGTGACTTTGTGATCCACCCTGAGCTTGCTTTGCTTGACTGGTCTTGTGACCCCTTGTTCTCCCCCACTTTGCCTATGGGGGTGTGTCAGAGTATTATAACTGATGCATGTTTGTAGGCTATAGTGGGGTAGCACATATGGGGTACAGCTTTCTAGGGTTGTATTTGTACCCAACTCTGACTTAGTCATTTCATTCCTGTTCTCTTATCTTTCACACTTCCGCCCAATGGCGCGAAATTTGCACATCACTGACCCACCTGCTGCTCGCTGACCAAAAAATGCTCAACGTGGGTTAAAAACGCAAATAAAACGCACCCCGCTCAAACACAACTCCCCCCACATTGCGCTCAGTTATGTGGGGGGGGGAACTCGAAGGTGTGTTTGGGATGGGAAAATGGGGGGTATACTTGTACCCCTGCGTCAAACTGAAGGCATGTTCGAGGGTTCCCCTGCACAGCAATGCGTCCGCTGTGCCACCGCTGTGCTCCGAAAAACGCGACATGACGATGGCATTGCAAGGGGATGGTGTTTTGCCTGTGGCGGAAGTTTCGTCCCCGCTTCCAGATGCCGTCGAAATGTAAAAATTGGTGTACAAAAGTGGGTGTTCGCCAGACGCCCAGTTTGTTTAATGGTTCGGACGGTTGGTGAGGCTCGGCACATTTTTCACGGGCTGACCAAGCTGACGGAGGTTAACGAACTCTAACTGACGGGATCAGGAAGGCGAGACCCACCTTCCTGATCCCGTTGTTGTGCCGTCATTTTCAGTTATAATGGTGCTGGCAAACAGCACCCTGATATCCCAAGTATGCATCTGGTTGTTTCATAGCACTCGCTGCTCGAACTCCCAGTACTAAATCGTCTGTGCCAGCTTACTAATACTTACAATCGCGACTGTACTTTCAAATATTGGGCGCCGTAGTCGTTAGCACCCACTTCCTTTAAGCAGCTCTTTTCGAAACGATAAGCCATAATGGCCTACTTCTCTCTGCAAGCACCGACAAGCCACAGCAGCGTGCGGGAAACTCGCAAGTCTCATACTGTAATGTCGCAGAGAAAGCAGCAGCAGCAGTCTGACGCCTCGTCGCAGCTTGAAGCGCAGATGCGATGGGTCGACCAAGCCCAAGATCTCTGCTCATCGCCCATGTCGCCGACGTCGCCCTTGTCGCCGTAATCACATAATCAGGTCCTTCCGATTCAAACAGCGCGCCTCGAAACGTTCTTTTCATTAAACTCTCACGTCTTAGGATCCGGTCAGTTCAGGACCGTGCGGCGCTGCAACAAGTGGCTCACAGGCGCGCGCTTTCGTGTGCAAGACGATCTCAAAGGACTCAACAAAAAATGGGGCCGGAAAACAATGAAAGCGCAACGCTTTAACATTGTCATAAGTACCTGCTGAGAACACACTTCTAGCATTACTATGTGCATTCCTAATCGCAACTTGCGATGAGCTTGCGGAATGATTAGGAAATGTCTGTAGGCATTGCCTAGGGTTTGATCGAGCAGTGAACGGGCTATGCTCCTACTCTCTACTAGCAACTTCCTTGGTATTACTGCGAAGTACACTACATGTTACATCTGGCCGCTTCATAAGTGTGTACAAAAACACCGTTACAAGAAAAGCCGGAACACATTTGTGCTTATATCTAAAGTAAGCACATCGAAAAATTCTGATAGTAAACACCTAACCGCATCAGTACACTGATCCCATACAACTGGCAACTGCCTTATATAGTGTACCCAATATTGAACAGCAGCACACTAGATGCTAGCATCGTGGTACACCAGGGCGCATACGGAGTGTACAGATCGGCTGTAATGGCAGCAGCCCATATCCCCGTTTTGAGATGCCCCAGGACTCAGGAATGCGTTCTACACGATTTTTACACCCAACGCACGATGTTCAATATAGCTGCTATTAAGGTCATAGGAATATAACGCAAACAAGACAAACATGCTTACATCTGACACACAAACGCGCAGTACCGAGGACACTACAAGCTTGTGGGGGTGAGGGTTTCAGAGGTAGGTGCAGGTTACCACCGGGTAACCGGGACACATTCACCCACGCGATCGCCTACTGGCGAGGGGTAACCGCTGGGATGGGTGGTGCGACGACCACCCCAGGGCCGGGCGACATGTCCTCCATGCCATCCTCAGAAAAAAGGATCAAGCCGTCGCGGCGAAAGCCCCACGCACGCCTTTCCGCGTCCCAAAACGGGCCATTCTGGGCTGTGCGACGCAGGATCATCTGGCGAATCCAGAGCCCGACTCGCTCGTGGTACCAGCGAACACCTTCTTTGTTCTGGGAGCGCTGCGAGTCAGAGAGCTTCCCGTCACAATGGGCATCTCCACCTGCATGGATCGCTCGTATGCACACACGCGCGATTAGTAAGAACACACCCCGCTAAACCACGAATCGTTCTCCCCTGCTTTTTACTTACGCCAAAAAGCCAGAACGCGAGAACGTAAGTCTTGACGACCAGCGGCCCTGGAATAGGACGCCAAAACGAGGCGTAGAAGGTGCGCTCAAAGATCTCGGTCGCGAACAGCATTCCCGCCGCATCGCGGTGCCAGGTGATCAGCTCCATGGACGCTGGGCCTGTATGCACATACAAGGACCCCGATGTTATCAATCGGATAGCACATGTTCTAATCATCATTATGAGATGGTGGTCGTTACGGAAAAATGCTCACCAGCTTTGAACTGCACCAGGAAATCCTTGCGTGAGATGCGGGGCACGTCCTGCCCGTTGGGCCTGACTGGCAGCCTGACACGCGGGTTGGCCCGCACGCGGTAAGGAAGGCCGTGCAGGATGTTTACGAAGGTCCTTCCCTGTTCCCACTTGGTGTTGCGCCACACCTGCATCTGTCGCGTAAACCATCCGGCCCGCTTCTCGTCCACACCCCACACCATGTGCAGGAGCACAATGTGCTCCGGGTTAGTGATGAGCAGCGCGCGCGCCACGCAGCTTTCGGCCAGCTCGGGGGTGACCCAGAAGTTCATGACGGCGACTGACGTGTCGTAGGCCAGAATGGTGATTGCGTCCTCGGTAACCCCCTGTTCGGGCACGGGATACGGGTATATTAGTATCAGTTGAACGTAGGCATCGACCTGCATCGTAAACGTGTAGCCAGCGCCTATACCTTGAATCCATCATCGAGCTTGGGGAGAAGCTTGTTGCCCATCTCCATTTTGTCGGCCCACTCATCCATCCCCTCGGTAACGACGCCATCAGTGTTCGCCTGGCGCAGTTCACGCTCCAGGGCTGCTTCGACCATCGGCGAGCGGGTAGACGAGCGCGAACCCCCATTGGCGTAGTCGCCTGAGTTGTCAGTACGGCGACGCAAAGCCCCGCGCAAATCGACCGTGGCCTCACGTCCGCGCCGCGGACGCGCAGCAGTCAGTCGCGTGATTTCAGGGCGCGTCGCTGCATCATGCCTCCCCTCGAGGCGATTGATCCGCTGGTTGAGAGACAGGATCTGACGCTCCTGCTGTGTCGCCGCAGCCGCCATAGCAGCGTTGACAGGTCCAGTGGTCGCGGTGCCCGTCGGCGTTGCGCCGTTGGCACGTGCGCGGGTAGAGCTAGGCCCGCGGCCTCCTGGGCAACGAGGAGTCGCGGTGTCGTGCGAAGATCCCGCCACAACTTCCGACATCGCGCGCTGCGGGCGGCGAGCAGCTGCCATGATGGTACACACAACAATGTCACAGTCAGTGTCCGAGTTTCACGCAGTGTACCAAGGTGGCCGCAACAACTACTGGCAACACGTACCTTCAGCCTCTTCGTCAACTGGAGCGTCCCGCTCCTCGTCGTCGCTTTCTTTCACCTCAGTTTCCTCGGTTCCATTGTCTTCCTTGACATCGATGCGGTCAGCCCATGGCAGATACTCAGTGTCCGCCTCGGACACTTGGCGCTCGGGCGTCTCCTCACGCGGTGAAGGCGCGCGGCCGGCCCTGCCAGAAACGCGGGGGGACCTTGTGCCCGGGCCGTAGTACACCATATCCTCGTCGTCGCTGCGCACGCCAGCATTGCTTCGTGAGGAGCGACGGTAGGCGGTATAGGGAGATGGTGCGGGCTCCATGTTGGAAGGTAGCAGTGCTGTTCTTTCGTGTGTTTGAGAGTGACATACGTCGACATTGATTGGTATAGCTCGTTTAATACCTACACAACACACTGGTCAGCTGGTTGGCAATCCACGCTATTGCGAAAGCACCCCTTGCGCATTGCCCTCGCGTATGCGCTTCGCGCAGAACTGCTATGCGCTTGTTTACGTTTTGCGCATCGCATAGCAGCGCGCCCAGCAGAGTCGTCTCAGTCGAAATATCTCGCATATGCTGACCTGTTAAAGCGCTGGCACTAATTCACCGTATCCGTGCATTCATACTTGGACATCACCAGATCCAACGGCTTAACTTCTGTGTCGTTCAGCCGGTAGATCCTGACCGCCAAAAGCCCCCATTTCAGGAACGCGTCTGGGTTAGTAGCCACCCCACTCACTGCCTGCCAGAAAATCCAAGCGGAAGCCCCCATAGTGTTCACAGCCTGCACTATCTGCCGTGCTATGAACAGCATCACACCCACGTCATTGCCGACCACCCACATCGGCCCCACCTCCGACATCCACACCTCCTTGCCAAGCCCGGTCGCCATGCGGTGCATTCCCACCATCACGCCTTCCATGTACCGCCGTGTATCCGTCGTGTTGGGCGGCGGCGGAATGTACCCGTGCACGTTCAGCCAAAAAAGGCCGGCCTTCACTGCAGCAGGGAACTTGTATGTATACCGGAGAGTGGCGCCGACGAAACTGTCAAACCCCGCGACTTTCGTTGGGAGCTTTCGTTTCTGGAGGTTGGCGGTGAGGAGGCGAATGAGAGTGCTCAGCTGCTCAGGGCTGTAGTTGCACCCCTCGTTCTTCGAACCCTGCGACCACCACCCCTCCAGCGCCTCATTTGAAGGGTTCATCGTGGAAAACGTCACGTTCCAGTACCTGCGGTAGTGCTCGATCACAGACGCTTGGTAGTCCGTATATGCCTGGAAATACTCGGGCTTTAAATTACACTTGCCCTGTTCAGTCCCGGCAGTGTCCCCGCTGACCGTCATCCACTAGGGCGGCGAGTATGAAATCGCCTCCACCTCGTCCACATTCCGCGCCAGGGCGGCGAGCATTGTCCATCTCTGCCGCCCGTCCGCCGTCCAGTCGTACGGCCCGTTTGGCTGGACGCGGAAGCCGGGGATGGAGCGGGTCTCCCAGGCGGCGGTGAGGAACTGGGGGCTGTTAGTGTAGTTGACGCTGCCGCCTATGAGGTAGCGGGCCAAGTTGAGCCCGATGCCCTTGTCCTTGTCGAAGAGTAAATCCATTATGAGATTGAACTGGTCGTCCGGCAGCTTGCCCACGTAGTTGGCGAACCTGAGAACCGAGGGGAATGGGGCATGGGCAGGCAGGAGGCATGCCGCATGAAACATAAGAGAGTTGGTCGTCTGGTAGCTTGCCCACGTAGTTGGCAAACCTGAGAACCGAGGGGAATGGGGCATGGGCAGGCAGGAGGCATGCCGCACGAAACATAAGAGAGTTGGTCGTCTGGTAGCTTGCCCACGTAGTTGGCGAACCTGGGGGGGGCATGGAGCAGTGAGGCATGGGACGTGGGGCATGGCATGGGGCATGGGGCATGAAGCATGGGGCATGGGGCATGGGGCATGGAGCATGGGGCATGGGGCATGGAGCATGGGGCATGGGGCATGGGGCATGGAGCATGGGGCATGGGGCATGGAGCATGGGACATGGAGCATGGGGCATGGAGCATGGGGCATGGGGCATGGGGCATGGGGCATGGAGCATGGGGCATGGGGCATGGCATGGGGCATGGGGCATGGGGCAAGTGGCATGAGATACGGGGCAAGGGGCATGGGGCAGGGAGCACTAGAGAGCAGGTTCATAATGTGAGTGAACTGGTCGTCCAGGAGCTTGGTCACCTAACTGACGAACGTGTGAGGCAAGGGGGAAGGCGCAAGGGGCGTGGGATGTGGGTTGTGGGATGTAGCCATGGGCAATGGGATCGAGCATGGGGTATGCGGCAAGGCGCATGGGGCATGAAGCATGGGGCATGGAGCATGGGCATGGAGCATGGGGTATGGAGCATGGGGTATGGACCATGGAGTAGGGGACAGGGGACATGGGGCATGGGGCATGGGGCATGGGACATGGGGCACGGGGCACGGGGCATGGGACATGGGGCATGGGACAGGGGGCATGGGACAGGGGGCATGGGCAGGGGAGGTTGATGCATGCAGATGCACGGAGGGCCTGGAATGGAATGGGCATTCAAGCAGGTACCCTTGCCAGCTAAGCAGGTAGTCTTGCCAGCTAAGCAGGTTAGGATGCCAGCTAAGCAGGTTACCATGCCATGTATGCAGCTCACCATACCAGGCAAGCAACTCACCATGCCCGCGAGGTTCCCCAGCCTCGCCACGTCTGTCCGTTCCAATCAGGGGCGATGGTGATGGTGGAGGTGGCTGTGAGGCGTGCGGGGAAGGAAAGAAAAGGGACGAGAGGGGAGGTGAGCGAAGGGATAGAAAGAGAATGGGGAGTGAAGATGGTGAAACGGCCTCTCCACGTCTGTCCGTTCCAATCGTAGATGGTGGTAGGAGGGCGCTACGGGGCGAGGCGACACAAGGGAAGGAACTGGTAAGGGAAAGAAAGAAGAAGAAAGGAAGGGGAGGAAAGGGAAACAAAGAAATGGGAAAGAACTGTTAAGGGAGATAAACGGAAGGAGAGACGATGCTGGGCCAGTCACAGCACCTCTGTGCCGCGGGGCGATGGTGCTGGTGAAGGGAGCTGAGGCGAGGAGAGACGAGAGCATCGTACTGGATGCTTGAGGAACAGGAGCCAAACGCTCAAACGAACGGATCAGAATTTTAAGAGGAAGCTTAACTAACGCAGTCAGGACATGGGGACATGAGAATATGAGGACATGGGGTATGGGGCATGGGGAGAGTCGAGTGGGGGACTGCATGAGTCAAGGCACAGTGAGCGCGTGACTAAGATACTATATAGTCACAGCGAGCGACGCTGGCTATCAGAGCACAGCCTCGGCTGTCACCTGATTCAACCTTCACTCCCGCTCGTCCTCCCAACCACCGACTCTATAACGCGGATATCTCCCTCCCAGATCTGGTCGCGCGTATGATCGCATCAGAAGGTCTCAGCCGCGTGACAGTGGCCCCATGACTCCCCCCGTAATCCCGTTGCCCCCAATGTTCCCCCCTTGCCCCCATCTTTCCCCACTTGCCCCATTTTCCCCCCGTCGGCCCCAGCCCTGATTCGGTAAGAATATCCCTCCCTTCCCGAGGCCCTCCTGTTCTTGCATCACGTAAACGAAACTCGATATTGCGGATATCTCACCTCCAGATCTACACACGACAATGCCCCTATCGGGTGTCAGCCGCTTTTTGAGTCGACCAGAATATCGTTTTTTGAGTCGTCTCGTAAACGGAGCTCTATATCGAGGATATCTCACCTCCGGTTTGACACACGCCAATGATTTCATTGTCGGGTGTCAGTCGCGCCTCGTTCCCCACGGGCGGAGTGCTCCCCCCATCCCCCTTGTCTGGCCGGTCGTCGGGAGGGGGAGGGGGAGGCGCGGAAGCCTGCGCAATCACCACGCCTACGGAAGTTAGGCTTTGCGCGGTAGCTTGGAGGTGCGCGGAGGAAGAGGCCGCGGAAGCCACGCGCGCGGATGTTCTGCCTTGCGCCGTCGTCATGCGCGGCAGCCAGCACTCCTGCGCGGCCGGCCACAGCAGCATCCACTCCGCGTCGCACTCGCCCGCACCGGCGCCGCTGGCGGCGGTTGAAGCCTCCAGGGAGCGCCCATGCGCGGCTGACGCCGGCGCTTCCCCATCCGCAAGCTGCGAAAGTACTTCAGCCGCTTCTACGGGCCGCCCCGACTTCCGCCCGAACACGTGGTGCTGACGCGACAGCGACCGCACTGCTTCATGGGTTAAGCGGATTATCAACGGTGGGTGTGTTGTGATGCAACCATATGCATTCACGTCTGTCTGCCTCCATCAAGTGTTCGTGTGTTGCATGTGTGGTGTGAGCGTGTGCAAGAATTTGTGTTTTTCGTGGTTTGGATTTCCTGAGTGTGTGTGGATGATATTTGGCTTGGGCAGATATCTGAAGTGACAGCTCTACTCAAGAGCTTTCCGACGAGCCAAGAATCGTCGCGATCGGAGCAATATCAAGAAAGTTCCGAACGTTGGAGTTCGTATGCTTTCTGTACTTCGGTTGTGGCGATTATTGGAAGTTGTGGGGTTGACTCAATATGGGGTACAGACTTTTGGGGTTGGGAATTCGAACCCAATACAATAGAATGCTGCCATGTGGTTGGGTGAAGCCAAACCAGGTTGGCAAGTGTGGCCAAGTGGGTTGAGGTGGATGGCATGAGTTGGGAAAGTGACAAATGTGAAAGTGGGGTTGCCTATGGGGAAGGAAATTGTGTGGCTTGGGGTTTCCTTGGGTTGGGGACTCCTTGGGACCTTCCCTCTCGTCCTCCTCTTCTCTCCTACCTGGTTTAGTTCTACTCTAACTCTCTTGTGTGTAACTTTTGTGGAACTTGTGAGAACCATTGTGATTGAGTTAAGCATGTGGCAGCAACCCCCCTAGTGCGCCGAAAATCATAACTCGAGATGTACTCTACCATTTGATACGATTCAAATTGGGAACGATAGCCCTGGTTTTAGGCCACAACATAATCCAGTTTGAGACAATTCCAACGTTGCAATTTTAGCCGACAACGTTTCTTGTGAAGTCGCGGTTTCTGTCCAGAAATTGAGACCGACGATTTTGTGTTATTTCGGCACCTAATCTTTTTAGACTCCGTCCTTAGTCTCTAACAAGTGGTATCAGAGCGTATTAAGGACATTGTGGGGAGTCTACTGAAGTGGGAAGACCCTCCTAGACCACCATGGCTTGTGGGCGTGCCTAAGTGGAGTTCTGGAGGTTGCATGTGACTTCCGCTAAGTGGAAACTCTGCCGAAATTTCGTTGGCGCCGACACTTGTGAAGATTGTGTGGGTCTACTTTGTGGACAGCAAAGGGGGAGCTGAAACTTCTGATTGGGAGCAGAGGAGATGAGTGGAGAAGCAGCTGAGAAGAAGAGTGAACCGCCACCGTCCAAGATCGAGGCTTTGGACGGCTCCAACTATGAGGAATGGAGCGGGCGGATGCGGAGCGCTTTCAAGCGCTACAAGCTACTAAAACTTGCGATGGGAGAAGAGAAGATGCCGGAGGAAGATGATGCCCGCGACAAATGGATTGAGAGGAGCGCGGTGCTGTACGACCTAATCCTTCAATCGGTCAACAATGATATGTTCCAGCATATCAAGGACCTAGTGGAGCTCGACGACTCCGGGCCTAAGGCGTGGAAGCTGCTACGCGATGTGGTACAACCCAGCACGCTGCCGATGGTGATCGTAATGGAGAAGGAGCTGGCTGCTCTCTCCATGAAGCCGGGAGACGATGTGAAACCGGTCCTTGACAAGATCAAGGAAACCTATGCGAGGATGGCAGCAGCGGGCAGCAAGGTGTCGGAGATGCAGCAGTGCACCAAAATCATCTCGGTGCTCGACAACTCGTGGGACAACCTCATCCCCACCCTCAACGTTCAGCAGGACAAGTGGACGCCTGAGTGGCTACGGCAGCAGATCCTGGAGGACTTCCGCAAGCGCCACATGGGAGGTGGTGCTGCCAACAAAACTGCTGAGGGGTATGGAGCTGCAGGAGGCAGCAAAGGAAGAGGGGGAGGGAGAGGTCGAGGCCGTGGGAGAGGCTTTGGCAGAGGAAGAGGCCGATGTGACTACAACGAGGGGCACGGGAGCTCTGGTGGCAGGGGGAGCACCCGAATGGAGGGTGCGTGCTGGTACTGCAAGAAGGCTGGACACTTGTGGTTCAAGTGTTTCAGCCGGCCTGAAGGATGGGCGCCCCCAGGCATGACGCCGCCAAGTGGTGAACGTGCACGAGGTGGTGCTGTGCAAGGTTGAGGTGCACAAGGTGATGGTGCACAAGGTAAAGTGGACCCTGGGCTGTTCCTCATGGTTGAGGAAGTGAAAGGGAGTGAGGATGATGTGGGTTCAGCTGGGAAGGTTGTGATGCACCCCCTCACTCACTGGGTGATAGATTCAGGCTGCACGAGTCACATGACTCCGCGGGCAGATTTGCTCGATGAGGTGAAACACTCTGGGAAGATCAAGTTTGTGGCTGCCGCGTCAGGTGCTTTGCTCCCTGTGATCGGTGTTGGGAATGCCAAGGTGATGGGAGCCAATGGGGGACTTGTGGGTCTTGGGAATGTCCTATTGGTGGATGGTTTATCCGCTAACCTCCTCTCTGTGCGCCGGCTGCAGAAAAGCAAGGCCAAAGTTACGTTCGGCCCAACGAGCTGCCGTGCGAAGCTTGGGAAGTTGCTGCTGTGGGATTTGGAGGAGAAGAGCAGCTGCATCAAGGACCTGTGGCAGCTGCCCATCATCCCTTGGAATGGGAAACCACCAGCAACGGCAAAGGCAGCGGCAACAGCTAAGGTAACTGCGGGAGGAGAGGTGACTGCACCAACTGCTGGGGCCCTGGATGCGGTCAAGAAGGTGCAGCAGCCACAGCAATCACATGGTGAGGTGCTTGCTGGTGTGGATGCAACAGCTGCGTGGGCAAAGGCTTCATCTGGGAGTGGTGAGGCCGATTGGGAGACGTGGCACGAGAGGCTGTGCCACATCAACATTCCTATGCTGCAGAAGTTGGTGAAGGATGGGAGCTTGAAGGGATTGGAGGTGAAGGGGGCAGTGAAGGAGATTGGGAGCTGCCCTACATGCCTTGAAACGAAGTTCACGAAGTTTCCCTTCAGCAGCAGCACGGGACCAGCCAATGCTCCACTTGCACTTGTGCACATGGACGTGGTGGGCCCCACGAGGGCCCCTTCTCTCTCGGGCAGCCGCTACTTTTTGACGATAGTGGACGACCACACGCGTGCGGTGTGGGTGTACCCTCTCAAAACCAAGGGGGAGGTGGCAGCGGCTGTTCTTAAGGAGTGGATGCCGAGAGCACAAAGGGAGAGCGGACACAAGGTCAAGGTGATCCGCACCGACAATGGGGGAGAGTTTATTGGCGCTGATTTTGAGGCGGTGCTGAAGAAGAAGGGGATCCAGCATCAGCTCACGGTTCCCTACAACCCTCAGCAGAACGGCGTGGCTGAGCAGTTCAACCGGACCCTGCAGGAAGGTGCTCGCACTCTCCTTGGGCGTGCAGGGCTGCCGGATCCGTTTTGGGTGACTGCACTGAGGCAGGTCATTGTTGTAAAGAACAGGGTGCTGGCAACTGTGGGGGACAAGCAGTGGATCCCCTACTCCAAGTGGTATGGGAGTGCACCAGCAGTCAACATGCTGAGAGCCTACGGCTGCATAGTGGTGTTTCATGTGCCGAAGGAGAAGAGGGGAAAGTTGGAAGCTTCTGGGAGATGGGGTGTGCACTTGGGACTTGTGAAGGACCACAAGGGCTGGCTCATATGGGACTTGACCAGCCAGCAGCTGACTGTGTCAAGGGACGTGAAGTTCCTGGAGTCCTTGTACTACAAGGAGTGGAAGCAGCAGCAGCAGAAGCTTCCTACGACACCGCTGATCGTTGAGGCCGATGAGATGCAGCGGCCTTCGAGACAAGTGGAGGTTGCCATCTCAGAGGAGGAGATCTCTGGGGTGACTGAGGATGGGGGAGAGCCTGAGGTGGTGGAGCAGCAGCAGCAGCAGCAGCAGCAGCCGCAGCAGCAGCAGCAGCAGCCGCAGCAGCAGCAGCAGCAAGATGCTCCACGAGGTGCCGCACGTACGGCTGACCGTCCTAAGAGGGATGTGCGCCCTCCTAACCGGCTGACCTATCCGAGCTTTGGGAAGCCGAAGGTGGTACGGGCTGGGAGTGTGGCTGAGCAGTGTGATGAGGAGGAGATAGCGCACTGCTACTGGGCAGCCGTCCCTGAGCCCAAGACGCTTACCGAGGCCTTGAGTGGGCCCGACGCTGAAAAGTGGAAGCAGAGTGTGAAGGAGGAGTATGACTCTCTGCTGGAGAATGAGACTTGGGAGTTGTGTGAGCTGCCTCCTAGGAAAAAGGCAATCTCTTCGAAGCTGATCTTCAGGCACAAGTATGGACCTGATGGGGAGCTGACCCGCTACAAGTCAAGGCTTGTGGCAAAGGGGTTTCAGCAGACAAAGGGGAAGGACTTTGATGAGATTTATGCACCTGTGGGGAAAGGGACAACACTGAAAGTGTCATTGGCAATGGCTGCAAACCGTGGATGGCGGGTGAAGCAGATGGACATTACCACCGCCTTCCTCAATGGGATCATTCTGGAGGAGCTGTACATGTTACAGCCTGAGGGGTTGGATGATGGGAGCGGCAAGGTGTGCAGGCTGAAGAAGGCCATCTATGGCCTGAAGCAGGCTCCTCGCGCCTGGTACCACAAGTTGGAGGAGACACTGCTGGCTGGGGGATTCAAGAAGAGCGAATGTGACCACAGCCTGTTCCTGCTGCAGGAGAAGGAGCAGTTTCTCATGCTCCTTGTGTACGTGGACGGCATCCTACTATTCTCTGAGTCGTCTGCGATGATTGAGCGCGTGGAGGAGATGCTGGAGATGCAGTTCAAGTGCTCTAAAATGGGAGATGTGAAGTACTACGTGGGAATGCATGTGGAGAGGGACCTCGACAAGGGAGTGTTGAGGTTGCACCAGAGAAAG